AAACTCTCACTCTCAAACCCTCATTGCCGAACTCTCAAGGTCTACTCTCTTCAGTTTTCTTCAAAGATCCTTGCTCGGATGAAGAAGACTGAAGGGAGACTTAAACCCCAAAACTCTGGATGGCATACGGTTGATTAGGTAGGTTGTAGTGGGAACAACGTCACCCCAAAATTTTGTAGGGACATGTGAGGCAAATAGGATACTTCTTGCAACTTCAACAATATGCCGGTTTTTTCTTTCAGCAACTCCATTATGTTCTGGGGTCCTAACACGGAGCTTTGGTGAATAACCCCCAAATCACTGAGATAGTAGGTCAGGTTTTTTCAAAATATTCTTTTGCATTATTGGATTTGAAAATTTTAATTCTGGTATCAAACTAGGTTAGAACAAATTCATGGAATTGCCTCACAAGTCTGGGAACTTCATCACTGGACTTCATCAAAAATATCCAAGTGAACCGTGAAAAGTCATCAATGAACAAGATAAAATATTTGTAGCCACCCATAGAAGGTAAGTGGTAAGGCCCCCACACATCAGTGTGCACAATATGGAATGGAGAAGAAGATCTTTTATTACTCAAAGGATAACTACTTCTACAATGTTTTGACAACTCACACGACTCACAATGAAGATTGGACAGACTAATTCCCTTAAATAGTTATGAGAATAAATGACTTAATGTAGAAAAAGAAAGATGACCCAAACGAAAATGACATAACATGACTCAACTGATGGACTCTGTAAATGTAGACCCAAAAGCAACTTTTCCAAGTTGTCCATGGCTCTATCCAGGAGTGTCCAGCAGATATATTCCATTCGCCTCATGGCCACTCCCAATCACCTTTTGAGACTCCAGATCCTAAAAAACACAGTAGGAAGGAAAGAAGGTTACACAACAGTTCAATGAATTAGTTAGGCTACTTATAGATAACAAATTTGTATTTAGCTTGGATACATGAAGAGCAAAAGGAAGTACCAAGGAATATGTAGCCTTGATGGTTCCTTTGCCGGAGATAGGGGCAAGAGAGCCATCGGCTAGGGTGATTTTGTCACAGTCAGGAAGTAAATCATAAGAAACAAACAAAGTGGAAAGGCTGGTCTTATGATCAAAACCACCATAATCAATATTCCAAGGGATCCTACGATTACCTGAAATAGTTGCATGATTGGCAGAAGCCCGTATACCTGAATGAGCAAATGYAGAAGAGGTTGAATTTCCTGGAGGGTTGGAAGAAGAGGCCACACCCTCTAGGTRACTGATCATCCTTCCAAACTTCTCATACTCTGCCTTCATAGCTACTAACTGCTCACTAGCAGTCATCTCTTCAGTTAGACATCTGTCACTATCTGGACCAACAACAATATTGGCACTTCTTGCCTTCATATTACCAACTTCTCTTGAAACCGAAGAGGAAGAAGCTTAGGATGCAATTTCCAACACTTGTCTTTAGTGTGTTTTGGCTTYTYACARTACTCACARATAMTYTCTTTCTTCCYTGAGCTACTTGGAGTCCCTGCAACTCCCTTGGGTTTCACTCCCATATTAGCAAAGTGATCATTTAGACCAACCCCTTGAACCTAGACAAGTCTCTTGCTTTCTTCACTACTTACTAAGGCATAGGCTTGAGATAGTGAAACACTACCCTTGGATAAGATATTTTGCTTTGTGATGTCATACTCTGGATTCAACCTTGTCAAAAACTCAAATACCCTGTTTCTTTCAACAAGTTTCCTGTAGGTCTCAACATCATTAGTGGTGTCCCAGGCTACAACTTCTATCAAATCAATTTCTTGCCAGAGACTTCAGTACTGAGAAATAAACAGCTAAAGGTTTCTCCCCCTGTCTCAAATTCTTCACATCACTCCTCAGCTTGTAAGCCCTGGCCACATTTAATTTTTGGGAATAGGTTTCAGCAACACTATCCCAAATTTCCTTTGCTGAATTCATCCACAAATAGTGTTGACTAATTTTCGGTTGCATTGAATTCACAAGCCATCCAATAACAGTATAATTTTCTTGCATCCATTTTTCATATGATGGATCATCTTCCAAAGGAGCCTTTTTGCTCCTGGAGATAAAACCCTATTTGCCTCTACTGCAGATATGAATTTTTACTGATTGTGACCAAGCCAGATAATTAGTTCCATCTAGCTTGACTATGGTCATAGCTAGTAGAGAGTCTAAAGAGGCTCCTGGAACCTGTCTGGATTCAGCAACATGCTTGTTTTCAACTTCTGAAGGGTTCATCTTCTTAAAATATTTCGAAAATAACTTCTAACAATTTCGAATAACAACAAATGAAGACAGAAGAAAAATTGTGTTGTGAGTCAACCTCTATACAGCCATACCTGCTACCTGCGTCACACCCGGAACTCGGGATAAACAGAGAAATCTCAGCCGCTCCTTGTAGACTTCACAAAACACCAATCCACTTGAATCGATCTTCAAGATTAAGGATGAGAAGACTTTCAGTCACTGAGCACCCAAGTCAAACTCCCTATGGGGCTCGCAATCAGATTTCTCTAGAAAATTAGGGTTTCGGGCAACACACTTGAATCAATTAGGAGGACGACAAAACCAGTCCCCTTCTCTTCAAAAACCACTAACAACTGGGCTGAAATAGGTTTCTTTAACTATTCATACGATTCAGTTCTCCATACACACTGTGTATGGGAAAAAAGAGGTGAAAAAAGGAAAAAGTCGAGCCTGCTCTGATACCAAGAAGAAAAACAGCCTTTTGAAAAGAAATGACTGTTTAAAAAGTTGCAAAAAATCAAAAGAAAGTAGCAGAAATCAGGTTTCAAGAAGAGAGAAGAGGAAGAAGAAAGTGGCAGCAACTAGGGTTCAGAGAGAGAGATTTTCGAACATAACTCCCCTCTCTTACACCCCTAATTCCATTTTATTAAGTTAAACTTTAGTAATTTACAGAGAGGCCCCTAGTTGGGCAGAAAATTAAAAACGTAACATAAGAAAGAATAAAAGCCCAAATTATGGCCCATTATAGCAAAGAACATAAAAGATAAACAGCGTATGGGCCATTCGGCCCATCTTCTCTACAAAGATTACCCTTTTGAACCTACCAAACCAAGCTTTGGGAGACTGTTTGAGCCTATATAGGGACTTCTTTAGATGACAGACCTTTCCCTCACTATTAGGAAGGCTCAGTCTTGGAGGCAAGTCCACATAAACTGCCTCTTACAAGTCTCCATTAAGAAAGGCATTCTTCATATCCATTTGGTATATAGGCCAAGAAAATTGTGTTGTAGACTTGCTCACAAGCCGGGCTTCGGGCCTGGCTTTACACTATTTCAGGCTTAGGCTTTGGGCCAGGCATATTCAAATTTTGGAAAAAGCCAAGCTTGAGCCCAGCCCATGAATAGGTCTAGCTACAAGAGACATGATCACACGAATAGAATTCCTTTTTGCCACTGAAGCAAATGTTCCTGATAATCAATGCCATAGGTATGAGTATACCCTTTGGCTACCAACTGTGCTAAGTATCTCTCAATAGAGCCACTAGCCTTGTATTTAACAGTATACACCCACTTACATCCAACTAGAGACTTATCCTTGGGAAGAGAGACAAGCTCCCAAGCCTGGATCTTTATAAGAGCATCCATCTTTTGGTTCATAGCTTCCCTCCAACGAGATGATTGTACTACCTTGTAACACTATGAGCAATAAAAAGAAACGAAATAATAGAGATACAGACACAATAAGAGGGTGAGAGAGCAGTATAAGAAGCATAATTATGATGGGATAGTTGGTACATTTTCTTTATCTTGTGGATGGCAATGGGAAGATCAAGGTTGGGATCACAATGACAGGAGCATCATGAAGTTCAAGAGGTGTAGATCAAGGTTACCTAAGTCGGGGTGTTCAGGTTGTGATGGACATCTAGCATTGGGAGTCACCTTCTTCCGTCGCCTGATAAAATACTATTGCCAAAACTGAGGACAGTATGTAGGAGGAGGTGGAGGATGTGAAGGAATGCTAGTAGTAGGAGGAGAAGAAGATGGACTATGGACTAGAAGTAGAAAGTGAGGCCGAAATAGGAAGACAACAGGGAGTCCGATCTTCACTGACACTCTCCCCTTGAAGAGAAGGACGAGATGGTTGAAAAAAGGAGGCAGACTCGATGAAGGTAACATTCTTAAATACATATCTCCTTCCAAATTGAGGATCAAAGCAGTGATACCCTTTTTGAACAGGAAAATAACCAATGAAAACACTTCTAATAGACTTAGATAAAATTTGTATTTAGATGGACTCGTATCATGAACAAAGCAGAGATAACCAAAAACCTTAAGAGGGGAGACTGATTGGATGTGAAACCTATACCAAAAAATCCCTAAAATGGGGTAATTTGAATAATACCAGATTCAAGAATGGCTGCCGCTACTTGTACGAATTTCTGATATCATTCGGCAGCAATCTAACATCAGCAAATTGCCTCTAGGGTAATGAACACCAGTAGAAGCCTTACCCTGAATTTAGAGACTTCTCTGATCCCAAGCTTTTCAATGTGAAGCAAAGGAAGAGAAAGAAAAAGACCGAAATACCTTCACAACTCATTGTATATTCTCAACAGTAACCAAAGAAACTTACTCATCAATCTTCCTGTTCTCCTCTGACTGCAAAAGTGCATACACTTCCTGAACAGTGGGCAATTCCCTATTGCCTAGAATTTGGACACTATTTGGTTCATAAATTGGGTTCACGCTTCCAATCTATGGACTGATAGTAGTCTAGCTCTTTGCACATGAATATAAGAGATCAGAAATATGCAGAAAGGCTCCTTTCAACCTGTTTACATGTATCAAATTCTACTTGTAAAGTTTTAAATGTCTATAAACCTCATTGCCATGAGGTTTAATAATATTTTTTTTCATGTGCAAACAACTGTAATGAAATGTCTATAAACCTCATTAAACCATGAAAATTATTGCTAGTAGGTTTCTAGCTTTACTGAGGCTATGAATATCCACCTCCCATGCAGGAAATTTCTGCAGCTTTTGTTTTTTTCAAGACCCGCTATGCTGCTGTCATTGCTTCACAGGTTCTTCAATCTTCAAATCCCATGTTATGGGTCACTGAGTTGGCACCAGAACCACATGATGTTTATTGGTCAAACCTTTGGATACCCTATAGGCAGCTTTGGTTTCGTCGAATAGCAACTCTTTTGGCTGCAATTCTTTTCATGTTTTTGTTCCTTGTCCCTGTCACCTTTGTACAAGGTTTGTCACAACTGGAACAGTTGCAACAGATGTTCCCATTTCTCAAAGGAGTTTTAAGAAAGTAAGTATCATATATCCTTAATAAAATGATTTATTGTTATGCTGTCCTAAATACTTTGCTACTTGAACATTGCACCTATATTGATTTCAGACACATTAAAATTTGTCAAACACAGAGTCCAGCAGACTCAGTATTCGAATGTCTGTACAATTTGTTATCATCTACTAGAATATGTGAACTTTTAACTGATTTTTTTGGGAATGAAGAAAGTCTTATTATTTTACAAGGAAATATAACTTACTATGTATGTTTTTCAAATATTTTGAATTATGTTACTTAAACATGGCAAGTGCATTGATGTCAGATTGTCAGGCATGAAGAACTATCAGATACCCTAAGAAATTTGCTGGTCCAAAAATCTATGGAAATCATTTCCATATATGAAATGGGTTTTCCCACATTCAAATGTAAAAGGATGAGGAATGTGTTTAGATAAGTTTATAAACATGGATTGTCATATAAACAGTACCAAAAAAAAAAAAAACTCCTAAACAACATTATTCTTGTTAAACTTTTCTGCATTATACTGTTGGAATATGTTGAAAACAGATGCTCAGCTTAAAAGATTACCAAGAAGATCAAATGTTCTTTTTACACAGTTTAATGAATTCCTTTGGACAATTATAATGGATGTTAGTGATCCATCAGGTTTCAAGAGTGAAATAAACAAACTGCTCACCAAAACAAACTGAAACTACTGCACAAACCAATTACCTACCCAAAGAGAAAAGTGACACCATGGAAAGGCAGACACCCCAACCCAACAAAGCTCAAGACGCAATGCTTTTCTCTTGCATTCTGAATCATGCCCTATGACTCACTATAGTGGAATGCCTTGTAAATGCCTCCATGTTTTAAAACATTGTACAGTATTGGGCCATATAAAAATTATGGCTAATAGTTTAACCTTCAAATCTTATGATCCAATCTGGGCAGGGAATATGGGTTTGGCAAATAGTTAGGGATCTGGATTTTGAAAATCAAATAAACTGAGGGCAAGGTTCAAAATATCGATATGGTGTGTATTATATTGTATCGGCAAGGTTCCAATACACCTATTGAAAGGTATTTTCAGGAACCTATTTATTTTATTTATTAAATAACATAAAAATATTTATAAAAATGAAATATTTGAGAATGGCAGCTTACTCACTTCAGCCGACCCTACAATCTTATATAGATGTTTACAAAGTAATGTTGCCGAACCAACACTCCCCCTCAAGCTAAGCATGGATGTCAGTCATGTTTAGCTTGCCAAGTAAGTCTAAGAATTTAGTTGAAGCTAGTCCTTTTGTTAGCACATCTGCAATCTGCATCTCGGAAGGAGTATAAGGAATGCAGAGTTCCCCTGAGACTATCCTTTCTCTAACGAAGTGTCGGTCAATCTCAATATGCTTCGTCCTATCATGTTGCACTGGGTTATTTGCAATGTTGATGGCAGCCTTGTTGTCACAKTAYARCCTGAGAGGACACTCGACCTTTATCCCGAGCTCACCAAGAAGGGACCTAAGCCACAATAGTTCAATAACACCATGAGCCATAGCTCGATATTCAGCCTCTGCACTTGATCTAGCAACCACATTATGCTTTTTACTTCGCCATGAAACCAAATTCCCTCCAACGAACGTGTAATACCCAGAAGTAGACTTCMTGTCTCCAACAGAACCAGCCCAATCTGCATCAGTATATGCTTCAATTTCAATTTCATTGTGTTTTTTGAACAGAATTCTTTTTCCTGGGCAAGTCTTCAAGGACCTAAGAATCCTTTCCGCTGCTCTCATATGAGGAATCTTTGAAGAGTGCATGAACTGGCTGACAACATGTACAGCATAAGCAATATCTGGTCGAGTGAGAGATAGATATATCAACTTCCCTACCAGTTTTTGGTCTCTCTCTTTATCAAGGTAGTCCTCTCCTACTGATTCCTGTAGACCATGGTTCTATTGTATTGGAGTATCTGCTGGTCTACTCCCCATCATACCCGTCTCCTCTAGAAGATCAAGGACATACTTCCGTTGACATATATAGATGCCCTCTTGTGACCTAGCAACTTCAATTCYARGGAAGTATCTCARATGGCCCAAGTCTTTGATCTCAAACTCAGAAGCCAAGAACTCCTTCAATCTTTTTATCTCTTCTAGATCATTCCCTGTAATCATCATATCATCCACATAGACGATGAGTGTCGTAAGTCTGCTATCCTATTTCCTTATGAACAAGGT